TTAAAGTAATCTTGCTCAGCATTTGTAAGGCGAGCTTGGAACTGTGACCATTCAAATTTGCACCTCTCCCTCACCTGCTCGTATAAAGAAGAGTAGGATGAAGATTAGCATTTTTATTTAGAGAGAACAAAAACATGCATTAAGCAATTGTGATCCACAATCGGGTTTAACCCATTTAATCCGATTAATAAATGTGTAAGAGACTCGAGACAACTAATTCATATAGCTAGGTAACAAATAAATAGAATAACGACTATCACTAGAACGCAAAATAGGACTGTGTTCGGTGGTTTGAGTATAAAACGCACATACTCAACCTTAAAAGTGGCCATGAGTTCTATTTGCCCCACTAATGCAAGAAACCACTTATCTCAATACTCAACGTGCAAGTAATCATGTTTGGGCCGAACAGATGTTCCCTGAATCGATAAATCCGCCAAATATAGATGCTCGTTGAATCGGTAAATAGGCGTATTGGGTATGTATCTGACATATACTGGCCAGTTCAAATCTGATTGATACAGTGCGGAGCCTTGACGGGAAGTAAGGATGTTTGGAATTAATCAAGATCTCACAAGGGCAATGTTTGCAGTGCACAGCTGCGGTAACGTCTTTTAGCCCCCTAATAATCCATCATATACCATTGGAAGTGGCTCCGGGTAAGGGAGATTGAAACTAATAATCTTCCAGATCACATTAAAACGAGGGAGTATTATTAAGTTTGTAAGGCGATGCACCAAGTATGACGAGGCAAATCAGGGTTCCGTTCTAGGGAAAACTACCTCCATCCCGCTAATAAAAATATATATTAAACCCCCAAACTTTTGTTTCCTTTGTCTGGGCCCCCTTGTCCCACTACTTATTTTCAAGTACCCCTGGAATGCAATTTGCCACTTGTCATCCCCAATCTCTCAACAACCTCCTTCATTCCTCCTTCCCCTCTGTTGTTGCCACCCTCAAAATTAACAGTTCACCAAACTCGACCTCTACAACAAACAATCTTAATGGAGCTTCGCCGCTGAAGGTCTCCAACCCTCACTGCCTCCCTCACTTGCATCTTGGCAGAAACTTCTTCATCCACACAGCTCCCTGCTCGCCGATGATTGCTGCATCTACATCGACGACGTCGCCATCAGCCTGCATCTGGACCCTCGGTGGAAATTTCCTCTTGACGACATCGCCATCGGCCTCTAAATCAACGTTCGTTCGCCGATCACAGAAAGCACTGCATCAATCATCGTCGACAACGATCTCGCCACCAATTCCACCGCATTTATCGCCCGTGCTCGTAACCAGACAGGCCTTCTTCAGATCGTCACCAATGTCATCAATCTCCTCGGCCTCCGCAAAGATCGCGCCACCGTAGAACTCGACGACGATTTCTTCATCAAGAAGTTCTTCGTTGTTGAACCGAGTGGGAGAAAGATCGAGAAAATCTTTGGGGGATTTTGCCCAAAGGCTCGGGTGATATCTTTCCCGAGTTTGGGGATCTGCTTGCTGAAGTAAAAGCTTTGTTTACTTATTGTTTGACCTGACACGTGTGAAGAGCTTCCCTACATTGAGAACTTGCTCTCAGACCCAACATTCACTTCAAAGTTTGAGGGCTCCACCTAGTTCATCATGGATAAGAAGGGGCTGTATAATTTTCCACAAACTTGATTGCAACTCACTAGTGCCGACAACTATACCGCGTAGGCTCTTACTATTCACTATAATATTCGGGCTTTTGCGCTACGGGTTACATTGATGAATCACTCTACTGTCGCCTACGAGCACTATTATTACACTCACTCCCTCTTCTGCACGTACTTACCAGATGCTACTTCTAGTGACTCCTCCACCGATTCTTCTCGTGTCACTTATGATCAGTGCATTTGTACTAATCAGCAGATTATAGCCTATATTATGCGATTAGTAGCTATTCCTATTCGACTTTCTCTCGGATGGACATCTTCATCCCTGTGTCACATGTTTGTTTAGATAGGTGTTGCTCGTGAGTATCAACTTTATAATGCACTTTAGGATGCTTGTCACGATCTCTTCAAAACTTCTATTCTTTACTATCAAGATAGCGGGAGAAACCGCAAACAATGGAAGAACCTGATCCTAAAACGGTTTCCGACTCGCAGTGCAATTCAACAACAACATGATCATCAGTAGTTTTATCATTTTTTTCACGCACCTTCATTCAGAGTTTGAATGCCTATGACAACATATCCTTCACCACAGTCCTCTCCTTAGTCTTCATGAGGCAATTGTTGAGTTCATCTAGAGACTTGTCTTAAGATGCTTTCCTCTCCAGTGGTTCACTCAGCTCTCACTACCATCTCATATTGTTCTTGCTACTCCTTACACTTCTTATTCTTCTCATCGAAATCCTAGCAGCACTTTTAATTCTCCACAACAACTTTATCGTCGTTATTGTAGAAACCTAGGTCACGCTATTGATAAATGTAGGAAGAGACCACCTCGTCTGATATTCGAGAAGACTCTACCTCTATTTGTTGCATCAACAAGTGTTAATACTGTTATTCAAGGGTCGCATACTTCTTGCCCTCTATCTTTTAATCAACTCTTAGAGATTACTGCATTCATAGCCAAGAACCATGGGCTTAGTGGTGCTTCAATTCTAACTTCTCTGCATTGTCTACACATGCTGGTACTTCTACTCCCTAGATATTTAACTCATGTACATCTCATCATATGACCTTAGATAACATTGTTCTTACAAATTATTCACCAACTCACACTTTATTATGAATTTACACTACTAATGATACTCTCCTAGTAGTTACTCACTTGGGTAGCATTACGTCAAGTTCTGATACTTCTGGTTGTCTAACATGATCATTTGTTCTTCATATTCTAGTTGCACTATCTTATTTGATTCTAAATCTTGTGTTGTCCAATATCACATCGGTCAAAAGATTAGGACATGTCATAGAGTCAATAGATTTTATCAATTAGAATCTCTACATTTTTTCTTCTCTTTTGACAATGGTCATGGACTCTCTGCTTTCAATCTGTGTCATTATCGCTTAGGTCATATCTCTAGTTCTCGCTTAAAGATTTTATCTGAATTTGGTGTACTAGGAAGCTAAAAATTCTCTACTTTATCGTATTGTGCTACATGTCAATTAGCAAACAAATTGCCCTACCAATCTCGTCCAGTAATAATATTATTTTAGGCCCATTTGATTTAATTCACTTAGATATCTAGGCACCTCCACCATTGTCATCATTGTCCATTTATTGTTATTATGTTAGTTTTATTGATGACTATTCTTGGAACACCTGGGTAGATCTCATGCATGCTCATTTTGGTATTTTAAATATTTACAAGGACTTTATAAACTTGATTCATACTCAGTTCTATAGATGTAAAAAAAGTACGCAACCTAATGGTGCTTATGAATATATCTCTTTAGCAATACAATCTATTTTAAAATCACATAGCACTCTCTCTCAACAATCTTGTCCCCACACTCACGAAAAAATGGTGTCACTGAGAGAAAACAATGTCAAATCCTTCACACTACTGGAGCTCTTCTAATATTAGCATCAGTACCTTGATTTCAATTCATCTTCTATAATACGTGACACCTTTCCACACTTCTGACTTTTTAAGTCTTACTTTCAATATTCTATTCTTTGTGCTTTTGGATGTGTATGTTTTGTGCTACTTCCAACTAACGAACGAGATAAACTATCTCCAACACTACATGATGTATCTTTCTTAGCTATAGTATAGTTCATAGAGGGAATCAATATTATGAACTACCACACAAAGGCTTCATATTATTCGACATGTCATTTTCTTTAAGAATGTTCCCTACTATGTTACTTCAAACTTACTCTCCTTTCTTTAACCTCCTTCACCTACCACAGCTATACATGTACTCTTAGCACTTGTGCATCCTTCTGCTCAGCCTACCCCCTTCTTTTCTTCACTGGCATCTAGAAATGATCCTTTTGAACCATCCACACGTTCTTGACTTCCACATCCTACCTCACTTCTGCTGCAAGACACTCCTTTTATAGATGTCCCCTCTACACCTGTATCAGCTTCTCTAGATGTGACTCCTCATCGAAATCCCTCGTGAGACTACCATCCCTCTGCTTGATATGCTTAGTGTGTCACAAGCACATATTCTTCAGAGTTTGTCTTTTTTCTTAACTTGTATTGTGAGTCTGTTAAGTATCCAGAATGGTAGCAGATATTGAATGAAGATTTGGAGGCATTCCACAAGACTCATACTTGGGATTTTGTTCCATTGCCCTCCGGTGTTAAACTAGTAAGTTGCAAATGGATTTATACAGTCAAGACTCAATCAGATGGTTCTATTGACCGATACAAAGCTCGTCTTCTTGCTCGGGAATTTTCTCCGGACTATGGTATTGACCACGAAGAGACTTTTGCTCTTGTTATAATGGTAACATCAATCTGCACTCTCATTGTTGTTACTGCTACCAAACACTGACCTCTATATGAAATGAATATTAAAAATGTTTTTCTTAATGGTGACCTCTCTAAAACGGTTTACATACAGTCACCTCCTGGCTTTTTTGCTCCTCCAAGACATGTTTGTCACCTTCATCGTGCTATATATGGTCTCAAATAGGCTCCTCGCACTTGGTTTGAGCGCTTTTGACAATCTCTTCTCTCCATTGACTTTATTGAGAGTCAAATTGACTACGCTCTATTTTATTAGCCATCAGCCTTTAGCATGGTTATTCTCTTTCTTTATATTAATGATATGATTCTTGCTAGGAGAGATTCTTCTGTTATTGTTTCATTGAAGCAATACATATAAAGTCAGTTTGAGATGAAGGATCTTATATATCTTCTTCTTGAGTACTGAGGTTGCCTCCTCCTCTTGTGGCTATCTCCTCTCTCAGCAGAAGTATATAGCTAACATTCTAACTGTGCTACACTCATTGATCCTTCTATTGCTACTACTCTTCTTTTCACATCAATGGAGATGAACTTGAAGCTTTGACCTGATGATAGTGTTTAAGTATAAAGCTTTCGTAGATTTTTATAAGAGCGCACTCTATTCTTAAGGGTCACGAT